GTGGCTGTGTGGGTCTGTAAGCCGGTGGCTGTGTGGGTCTGTAAGCCGGTGGCTGTGTGGGTCTGTAAGCCGGTGGCTGTGTGGGTCTATAAGAAGCTGGTGGCTGTGTGGGTCTGTAAGCCGGTGGCTGTGTGGATCTGTAAGCTGTTGCTGTGTGGGTCTGTAAGCCGGTGGCTGTGTGGGTCTATAAGAAGCTGGTGGCTGTGTGGGTCTATAAGAAGCTGGTGGCTGTGTGGGTCTGTAAGCTGGTGTCTGTGTGGGTCTGTATGCCGGTGTCTGTGTGGGTCTATAAACTGGTGGGTGTGTGGGTCTATAAGCCGGTGGCTGTGTGGGTCTGTAAGCTGGTGGCTGTGTGGGTCTGTAAGCTGGTGGCTGTGTGGGTCTATAAACTGGTGGCTGTGTGGGTCTATAAACTGGTGGCTGTGTGGGTCTATAAACTGGTGGCTGTGTGGGTCTATAAACTGGTGGCTGTGTGGGTCTGTAAGCCGGTCTCTGGGGAGAGAGAGAGATGGTCAGGTCCCTGATGCTTCCTGGCCCAACAGTCTAGTGAGGCTATAGCTCCAACCTCAGTGGCAGAGGGTTTAAAAAAAATAAGGTAAGAGAGTCATAGAACAAGACACCAGATATCAACCTCTGTCCTGAATGAACAAACCTGTGTGCATACACTTGTGTGTGTGTGTGTGTGCACCAGAGCATGCATGCATACACACACACACACACACACACACACACACACACACACACACACACACACATCTGAGGCTCACATAAATGAACCTCCAACTTATATAAAACCATTGGAATAAATCACTAGTGACTAGTGATCAGAACCTTCTCCTGGAGTCTGATTGACTTCAAGTTTTGTTAAAAAAAACAAAACAAAACAAAAACCAAACTATATTCCTGAACTGTATATACAAGCAGGCACAACTTGACAAAACATTCGGAAACTGAGCAGAGCTCTATCGTTGCCACCTAAGTCAGGATGGGGCAACACTGGTGTCCTTCAAACCTTTCTTGGCTCATGGACGTCCCGGTCTCCTCCCTCAGCAGTGATAACCTCCCGGGGCTGCCTTCTGATGCCTACAGCAGGCGGCCGTGGCTTTGAACCTGACGAAGGCGGAAGTCCCTGGTGGGTGTGCTCCTGCACCAGGCTTCCTCCCTTCCGTCTCTGTCTAGTCTGTGAGGTCGGTCAGCAGTGTTGTATGTGATGACAGCTTGTCCTATCGCGATGCTATAGTCAGGGTTAGCTAACATTCCCAGGAGGGTCTGCATCTCCTCCCAGGGGTCAAGGTTGGCCACGGGGCGGGGGCAGTCACTGCTTGTCTCTCGTATGCAGAGGTGGGGGATACTGCCAGACGTCTTAGGACCCACATGATGGCACCCCTTCCACCATAAGGCAGCTTGCCCCACAATGCCCCACTGTGAGTACATAGTAACTTTGTTACTTGCGGTCCAGGACCAGCTGAGTCAACACCACCACCTTCCTGTCCCGTGGCTTTCCTTACGCTGGGACTGGTTCATTTTGATGTAGTCAGTCCAGCAGTCAGCTGAGTGCTTCCAACAACGACACAGAGGTTGGTTTCCCCACTGATGTTACACATGTTCATCGTTCAAAGGCCAGGGCGACCTCGCTGGTCACAGCCCACCTTTGTTTGGCCTAACGCGACCTCTCCTCCTGGGAATCCTGTCTCGCTGTGGTAGCCTCCAGCTCTGTCCTGAGCCTCAGTCAGCACTTGTGTGACCTTTATTCAGTCTCTCTGCTTCTGCTCCTCCTCCTCCTCCTCCTCTTCCTCCTCCTTCCTCTTCTTTTTGGTCCCTTCCTCCTTTGCCAACTAGCCTGGGAAAGAGGGTTTTTTGGAGCATCTGTGAGCATTTAGGCTCTTCCTAGTTTGAGCACTGCTGTGAGGAGTGCTGCTGTGAATTACTGGGCACATCATCCTTCCCTGCAGGGTGATGGGTTCTGTGATGGGTGTAGACCAGGGCTCCCAGGGTGATTTGGTTCTGTGATGATGGGTGTAGACCAGGGCTCCCAGGGTGATGGGTTCTGTGATG